CTGAGCAATTTGGATGCAATCGGGTTTAAAAGTGGCACTATTTATGAGCCATTTTGCCGAGGGAGGGTTTTTCAAAATAGCTACTTTTCTGGACAGGGACATCTTCTGCATTTTAGGGGTGGTCTGCTTCTGGTGAAAAATTCTCAAAAATTCATTGGTCAACCCCCCGAAAATTGAAAGGAAAATGAAAGAGGACATGTGGAACATCATTTTTCTGTGCAGCCTGAACACCTGTGAGAGTTGTGAGTATTTTTAAAATATTTTTGAAGTATGGGGATTTATCATTGCTGTCTATGGGAATTTATTTGTAGTGGTGCACCCTATAGGCGAACAATAAATCGAGCTGTTCAGGCGAACAATAAATCGAGCTGTTCGCAAACATACAGGAACAAGCCGCCCGAACTCAGCCTGAATTTGTAACTGGTGCAGAAGTTTGTGTCTATTACAGGCACCAATATTAATAAGTATATAGGCCCACTGACCTCTCATAAAAAAACGTTCAAAGCCAACACGTCAGGCCCAAAAAGCACAGTGCGTCTCATTACGAGGACGCCATGATAGGCAAATGTACGCATTACACAGAGCTACTTTTCACTGTCTACTTTTTTGCACCAAAACCTGCGTGCGAAATAAAGTTGACAGGTAGCGCGCCCTCTGTCGGTCCAATTATAGCCTGCTTTCCTCGGGCCTCCAGACATCGGAGTCCGGTATCCGCCCTCCAAAGCGTGAATCATCACGTGTAAATTTCTTCGTGAAACAAGAACAGCGGACCAGACAATGAAGGCTGTGAAGGCGTGCCTACAATAATCGTATATGATAAATGATGAAGCCTAGACAGTGATGCAGGCTATTGTCTTCTGCCTTAATGAATGACTCTACACTCTGAAGTTTTTCAAAGTTGCAATCATTAGAATAAACTTTGTGGGCCAGGTACCGCAGTGTTTTTTTTTTTTTTTTTTTGTCAAAGTAAAAAGGGGCATATCACATACGGTAAAGTGTAATTAAGAAAAGTTTACCGACGAAAGTAGCTATCGTCAAGTGTTCAATTAGTGTGACTGTACGACCCACGCACTGTCATGAAATCAATCATAATTACAACATACACTGCACATGTTTATGCACATCATGCACAGGTGCATTTTATTTAACCTAACTCAGCTNCGCCCCTGTTAGCCCAAAATTGTGCGATGTTGACCATGATCCAACTACGCCAACTGCTCGCGTCCTTGTTCTTCCGTCAACTGCGATGAAGCGTTTCCATGCTTGCAACTGTCTGAGTCTCTTTCCGCCGGCATGGAAACTTGGCTGAACTATTCCCATACCTTGGCAGTGAACCGCCTCCCTTGTCTGAGAAGGAGTACGACGACATCACAGGACCGTGATTGACAACAGTTTTAAAACGTCCGTTAACTCACTGACAGATGAGAAAGCTCAGTTGATAGAACAGCACCACCTGAAAGAATGAAAAAAGTGGCAAACTTTCAAAGGTAACCGGTTTGTACTTCGGCAAAATGCTTGTGATCCACATGACCTTACTAAGTTACAGGGTCCATCTTTTTGATGGTTCCAAAGGCTATGGCATTTTAAAAAGTGCCCCGCAATCTACGGATTAGTGCCTTACTGTTTAGGATTAGGCCTAGTGAGTACGCAAACTACTCTAGGCCTAGTGCTGAGTAAAGTATTGAGTAATACTACATAGTAATGATCAACCTACCCCAGAACAGTGGGGTCCGTCTACATCACTTTTAAAACATAACATTAACCGTAATTATGTGAGCAGGGAAGTATATACGGAATTTCAGTGAAGGTTCCGACACGTTCCGACCGGTCGAATTTTTACTAAACGCCTCCGACGTTCGCGGACGTCGGATCCCACAAACTTCTGAGGGTAGGCTACATGTACATTACGCTGGCAATGACATTCATGGCATTGGGGCAACGGACGGGAGTCCAGTACGCTGGTCAAAACACAGAACTTGGCCTACTCTTGACCCGTCAACATGACCCTTGGTATACTGGTAATGTCAGTCTAACGAAGATGGTACTAATCGAATTGTCACAAACCTTCACCCTGACCGGACCGCGCCCGCCGACTTTTTCTCACCAAAACTTGCGTACGGAATTCCCCGGGTTTACAAGTAGCACGCCCTCTGTTGGTCCCATTGTAGCCCGCCCTCTATGCCTCCGGCGGCTTGTTCTCCGGCGTATGTTTACGAACAGCTCGGTTGTTACTCTTGGTTCAGGCGCTACAGGCGAACAATAAATCGAGCTGTTCAGGCCAACAATAAATCGAGCTGTTCGCAAACATACAGGAACAAGCCGCCCAAACTCAGCCTGAATTTGTAACTGGTGCAGAAGTTTGTGTCTATTACAGGCACCAATCTTAATAAGTATATAGGCCCACTGATCTCTCATAAACAAAACGTTCAAAGCCAACAGGTCAGGCCCAAAAAGCACAGTGCGTCTTATTACGAGGACGCCATGATAGGCAAATGCACGCATACACAGAGCTACTTTTCACTGTCTACTTTTTTGCACCAAAACCTGCGTGCGAAATAAAGTTGACAGGTAGCGCGCCCTCTGTCGGTCCGATTATAGCCTGCTTTCCTCGGGCCTCCCAGACATCGGAGTCCGGTATCCACCCTCCAAAGCGTGAATCATCACGCGTAAATTTCTTCGTAAAACAAGAACAGCAGACTAGACAATGAAGGCTGTGAAGGTGTGCCTACAATAATCGTATATGATAGATGATGAAGCCTAGACAGTGATGCAGGCTATTGTCTTCTGCCTTAATGAATGTAATAGGAGTTGACTCTACACTGGGAAGTTTTTCAAAGTTGCAATTGTTAGAATAAACTTTGGGGCCAGGTACAGCAGTGTTTCTTTTTTTGTCTAAAGTAAACAAGGGGTATATCACATGCGGTAAAGTGCAATTAAGAAAAGTCTACCGACGAAAGAAGCTATCGTCGAGTGTTCAACTAATGTGACTGTAGAACCCACGCACTGTCATGAAATCAATCATAATTACAACATACTCTGCACATGTTCATGCACATCATGCACAGGTGCGTTTATTTAGCCTAACTCAGCTGTAGACCGTCCGAATGTTGATATGTACGCAGAGATCCTGATGTAATACGCGGCAATAAATCGATCTTCGATATCGCTTACATTTTTCTAACACAAGGTAGTGGCGAAAATTTGTATCGGGGAGATGATATTTATTAAATAACTGCCTGGCCATGGAAACTTGAAAAAGCTGGGGGGGTTGATACAACCTGGGGTGTTCTTCATAATATATGCAGATGTACATCTTTATTGCGACCCCGAACCTTACATAAAAAGAGGATATTCATTTTTATTTCGTTTTTCATTTTTCAATGTTAATGAATGCATGTTGGTTATTGGGAAGTCCGTAAATTTCTCAGAATCGGAATTAAAACTCCGTTCCCCTGGCATAATTTTTACTCCCGCGACAAAAAAGTCTCGATTCCCTCCTTTTACGTGAATGTCGCACAGGTACGGTATAATTACTGTTGCGGAATTAAAGCGAAGCAAGGTTTCCAATAGAAGAGTTAATGGACTGGCTTAATCGGAAATCCACCATTCAAGCAGGTTTAGTTCCAGAGCCTCTAGATAACCTTTTATATTTTGGGGGGGGGATCCATCATGCCTATGCCCACAGTGCAAATTTTGTTTGCTTGCTAGTCATTTTTTGCAGTTAGTCAATTTTATTGCGTTGTGTTTTAATCTTTAGCGTAATGCATTATGCAATGAATTTTATTTTTCAAGGAATTTCACTGCAAAGGAACTGCATCCTACACACACTGTGTAACGACATTATTGTCTGATCATATTTTCGCCAGTAGCATGATCTTATGATTACATACACAAAGCATGACACCCGTTAGCTGGTGCCGCTACGACATTTTCCTCGCTAGATAGAATTGTAGCATTGTAGATAAGGACATCCATCATCTGTGCATGTGCATGGGTACGGTAAGACATCCTTTCATGCAAAGCAATTTATTATGCATTTCCTTAATTAATTCATTTATTACTTATTATTGCAGTATGCATGTGCATAGGAGGAACAAACCGTTACCTTCCCTTGGCGATCAGTCTTTGTCGCTGATGCCCGTATTAAGGGAGGGCGAAACTCCCTTTATAAATTAATTTATAAACTGTAACAGAGCTCATGACAGCAGGACGCCTTTTTGCCCTAATGGGAGCTGGTATTTTCAGGGACGACCCAGAAATTTCAGTGGGGAATATGAGCCGTTTTCCAAGGATCGTTGGTAGAAAAGCATGTGTTAAATACCACGTCTACAAACGGACATACAATGATTGACCTCGAACCAATAAGACTTTTGCGAGTTAAATGGTCATAAAATCTGGTACACTGAGTTACGCGGAAACAAAAATTTGAATTTCCCACAGACTTACGACACTATACCTCGTTATTCGAGGCAAGCGTTTGCATAGCGACCACCATC